CGGCAAAGGTGGCGGGTAAAAAAAATGTAGTTCTAGATAATATTTTACGCAACTCCTCTCCCTTCTTCCGTCAGACGCTACTTAAATCATTAGGAGGCGGGCTGCTTCCACCCAGCCTGTCAGGATTAGCAGAAATTGAAAGAAATACAAAGGCGGAGATACTCGATTAAAAACTCTTCCCACCCAGGAATTGAGTCCAGATCTTGAGCGTGTGACGGCGAAGCTTCTAACCACTCCCCCCTTGCCTCCGGTAGAGGTGATAGTTATTTAAATAAACAAACGTTTGAATGTCTTTTATCTAAATTAACAGATTTTTTTTTTGTAGCAGAGTGTTTTAGCATTTAATATTAGGCTGGCCTTTTCTCGCACTTCTTTTCTTTATTCGGTTGTTTTGTCTCAGTAGCTTGCTTTGCCCCTGCACTGTATGGCTGTAATCATCTTGGCGATCTTGTCTATACTCAAACAACACTAAACTCAGCATACCAAAATTCGTGTTGAAATGCGACCTTGGTCTCAGGACCAGATAAACATGCGTCATCAAAACAAAAGGAGATCCTTTAAGAAGCTTGACGAATAAGACTTCTAATTATGAGGGGAAAAACAAATTTTAAAAAAAGACTTGTAATTATGGAAGACCATTTCACAGCTCACTGTACTCTAAACAAAAATCACACCTGTCTAATTTTTACCCCTGACAACTTTGGTACCTCATAGCCATTAAATGATAGTTTTTGAGTTAAAGTTCTCTCGTACCAGCTGGTGTCTTTAATTTTGTAACATGCATTTTTAAACAGTTGTTGTCTCTCTAGACGCCGTGTTTACTCTAGGCATTGTATCGTTGTTCATGCCTCCTTTGAACTTTATCACAGTGACTGAATTTCTTTCGAGAACTTTGACCAAGAACGTATTGCCAAATCGATGGGAATAACTGCTGAATCAAAAAGTCATACTCGTTTTTACGTTTGGATCCAGCACAAACATTTTCAACCCAAAGAAAGCTTGTGGAGTGAGAATACGGTTTCCCAAGAGTTTATTGCTTCGATGTCTTTGTTGTTGTTGTTTTTCTGTTTTTGGTTTGGTTTTGGTTTGGGGTTTTATATAGCTAACCATTCTGTGGTAGCATTGGCAGAATGACTAATGCGGTCTGCAGAAGTCACAATCAGACGTTCTTGGAGAAAAGTTCACCTTTGGAAGAGGTTTGAATTTTCTTCTCTTTTGGTGACCATTATTAAATGAATTATTTCGGCAAACTCTTTCATTCTTGTCCTTAAGAATCAAAGTTATGTCGTTCAAAGAGGGAAACGTTCATGTTACAACTCTACAACAAGGTACAGTATTGTCTCCTTTTTTCTGCGGCCTGGTCCAATGCCATGAACACATTTAGTGTCGTCTTCACGGGACAGCATAACCCGTTCAGGTGTCGTAGAACTTCGTTAGTAAATTATAACAAATTCGAAGAACTAATCGAGTGGAAGGTGCTCTGCGTTTGGTGTGAAGTTCTTTTACCCACAAGACATTTTTTTCCGAGTTCCATCTTGTGTGCGACCGCAGTACTTAATTGGAATATCGCAACTTGTACTGACCGCATGTCAAGGGATTGCAATGCTTCTGTTCCCGTACTTCACCCAAACGCTACGGACGCAGGCCAGTTTTGCTTTTTGTCCTGTGTCCTGATGTGTGCGTCCTCTCTGGGTTTGGCGTGCTCCGAAATTACGGAATGTTTCGCGCATATAAACTTCTAGTTGGAGAAATTCTCCAGGTTATGGAAGCGACCTCTGTGACTGCAATAAAGGAAACTTTGGTCACTCGACATCGAGCCTTCCTGTTTGTCTGTATGAGCAGTCTGAATTGGACATTCTCCTCTCTCTTGTTCACGCCCGTGTCTTACTTTTACGATATCACTCCTGGGGGATTTTGAAGCTAGCAATTGCAGTTTTTTGTGCAAATATCATCCATATGTTTCTTCTCATTGATGAAACATTACGCTGGCTGGCAGCTAATGGGTCTTGGAAGTGCTGAAACGAGCTTTGAGGTGGAATAGTGTTGACGTGAAGCAAGTTACATATTTGTTTTACGCTTCAGACACAAATGATAATGATAGTATTCATCTTTCCTTTGTACTTTTGCAAACGATTCTAATAATCCTGAAAGGGGACCAAAGGCACCCATAAAAACCCTTCAAATATCCTAACGCATCTCTGACAAACGGGATCACGCCACGAAAGAATGCTCCTTGCGAACTGGTCAAGGATCCAATGTTGAGGAGACATACTTTGTTCATGCAGCCGCCTGGTTCTTCAACAGTTTTACCTACTTTGCCTTGATTCTCATGTCTTCCACTTTACATGGACGCATCTACGTCAACTATACTCTCAACGCTGTCGCTGAGATACCAAAAGCAATTTTCTGCTATTTTTACCTAGACTAGATAGGAAGACATGGAGGCATTGGTCTCTTTAGCATTATATGAGGGGTGTCGTTAATTGCAGTCGGCACAAAATGGCAACTAGCACCGAACCAAGGTGCTGCCATAACAACTTTGGGAATAATCGAAAAAGTTGGCATCACATACTCTTTCAATGTCCTATATTATTTGTTGACCTCAGAACTGTTCCCAACCAAATTACGGAACTTAGGCTTGGGTGTGTCCACGGTTTGGTGGGATGCTCTCCCCTTTCGTGGAGCTCCTCATGAAGAAGATTGTCTACGCCCCTGGCCTCTTTTGCCGGAGACCACGAAGTACCAGCTGCCGCAGAGCCTGGCGGAGATGAAGCTCTGGAAGCGTCCACAAGGTGGCGCTGATCCACGGCGACGTGTTCCTGGCCAAACAGATCATCAAAAAACCAAAGACACTTTGATGTGACTAATAATAAATTCCATAAACACGTTCAAAAACAAAATGTTGTCGAAGCCACAAGTACTGTGATGGATAGTCACAGCTATTCTTAAATTGGATCAACTAAAACGTATTTCCAGATTAGATAGAATCCGGAATAAATATACTACTGCCACGGGCAATATGAAACATCCAAAGACTGGTGCGTTACTGACTTCTGTGTATCCTTTATCCCGACAAGCGACGTGCTGCAATACAACGAGTGACTAGAGATAGTCAGTGAGCAATAACTATTACCAATGATGATTTTAAAAGTTCGTTTTCTTGTCGAGTAGTGCCAAGTGGTCGAGTAGTCATTGTACTCGAATATTCCAGTTAAATTAGCGGCACCGCGTGAGTTTGTTTCTATCATAGCTAGCGCGTTTCCAGAGCTGACTGGACAGTCTGATCTGTGAATTGTTTAAAATTTGTTTGTTTTTAAAGTTCATAGCCGTGTATCTCCTCTCAGCCGGTATGCTCATTCCAAATTACCATTTCCGCTTTTCCCACAGACAAGTAGCGTTGCAGCCTGTTATGCACATACAATTATCTTTCACATTTTACCTGCGCGCTCACTGCTAATTCAAATGGGAGGAACTTTGACAAATCGTACAAAGTATATCTTTGGTGAGGTTTCCATGGTGAAACTTTAAACTATTGTATCATATGTTAAGCTTCGTACTACTGAACTAAAATGCCCTTTTGTGCTCATTACGCCCCGCGCACACATAAGTGAAGTCCACTCTCTGTACAGCTGCGAGCATGCAAAGGAGTCAATTTTTGCCCGTTCGTCTTTCTTCAATAACAAGTGAAGTTATACTTCTCTGCCATGGTCTGAGTTGGAAATTTCCTAGTGTAACTGTGGTCTTAAGAATGCCATTGCTATTTGCCACTGTGCAGTAGCCTGTTTTGAACTAAGGTTATCGTGTCGTGCTCGAGGACACACACCAGTGACCTACAACCTAAACGCCATGTCAACGACAGATGCTTGACATTATTGTGGGTTTTAGCTCTCTAACCACTCAACCAATTTTGAATCTCAGCATTAAACGCTCGATGATTAAGTCATGGAAAACCATCTCAACAATAATCGTCAAAATGGATACCACATAAAGATTTTAAGTCATTTATTTCTTCCCCAAAGCTGAATCATACAATTGATAGATCTTCAGAAGTTACAGTATCTTGAATTGTGCCTCCACTGGATGGCTGTAATCATCTTGAAGACCTTCTCTATATTCAAACAACACTAAACTCAGCATACTAAAAACCGTGTTGAGATGCAACCTTCTGTATGCTAATTGGTCTCAAGACCAGATAAACACGCGTCGACAGAACAAAGGGAGGCCCTTTAAGAAGCATAGCAAATAAGACTTGCAATTACGGAAGACCTTTTCTCAGCACACAGTACTCTTTATCTAGAAAATATGCTCCTATCTAATTGTTACTCCTGACAGGTGTAGGTACCTCATAGCCATGACCACATACGAGATAACTTTAACTTTTAAAAAATGTTTTGAGTTAAAGTTATCTCGATCGTACCAGCTAATGGCTGTAAGGTACCTATCTCTAGGGAGTAAAAATTAGAGAGGAGTTTGTTATTTGTAACATGCATTTTGAAGCAGGTTGTATCTCTCATGGTTTCATGCATAAGTTAGACTGTGTGTCGTTGTTGTTTGTGTACCCTATATTGTCCTTTGTTACCTCAGTTATCTCAGTTACTGGAAAATCTGTCGAGGCATTTAGCCGAGGATCTAATGCCATACCAACGTGAATAATTGTCCAAGCAAGAGTCATTATCATAATTATTTACGTCATGTTCCAGCATAATCATTTTCAACGGAAAGAAAGCTAGAGGAGTGAGAATACGTTTTCATAAAGGTTTATTGCTGCATTGGTTGTTTTGTTGTGAGTTTTTGTTTTGGTCACCATACGATTCTGTGGTAGTATTGGCAGAATAATTGATGTGTCTGCAGCAATCGAGATCAAACGTTCTCAAGGAAACGTTCATCTTTCAAAGAGGTTTGATTTTCCTTCCCTTTTGTTGACAATTATTACGTGAATTATTTTGGCCAATTTATTTATTCGGAAGTATCGGTACTTCGTTGTGTCTTTAAGATTCAAAATGCAGTCCAAAGATGGAAACGTCGATGCTGCTTTTGAGACATTGGGGCCATTACGACTCTACAACATGGTCCAGTACTGTCTCCTTTTGACCACAGCATGGTCCACTGCCATGAACATGTTTAGTGTTGTCTTCACAGGACAGCATAACCCTTTCAAGTGTCGTAGAACACCGTCCATCTTTAATGACAGCAAATTCAAAGACCTATCCTACTGGAACCTATCTGAAAGTGCAACGGAAGAGGATTTTGACAGTACTTGCAATATAAAACATTTTCATGATGTGAGTGGAAACATTTCATTGGCTTCTAATAGTTCCCTGGCCGAGAGGTGTTCTGCGTTTGACGTGGATTTCCTTTACCCAAAAGACATGTATTTCGTTTCCGAGTTCTATCTTGTGTGCGAGCGGAAGTACTTAATTGGAATATCGCAACTTGTACTGACCGCAGGTCAAGGGATTGCGATGCTCCTTTTCCCCTACTTCACAGACCGCTACGGACGCAGGCCAGTTTTGCTTTTGTCCTGTGTCTTTATGTTTGGGTCGTCTCTGGGTTTGGCGTGCTCCGTAAATTACGGGATGTTTGTCGCCTTTAAACTTCTTATCGGATTTTTTCTTCAGGGAATGGAAGCAGCAGCTGTGACTGCAATAATGGAAACTTTGGTCACACGACACCGGGCCTTCCTCTTTGCCTGTATGGGCAGTCTGAACTGGACATTATCCTGTCTCCTGCTCACGCCTGTGGCTTACTTTTTACGACATCACTCCTGGAGGATTCTAGAGTTCACAATTGCAGCTGTTTCTGTAAATATCATCCCTATCTTTTTTCTACTTGATGAAACATTACGCTGGCTGGCGGCTAATGGAAAAGACAAGCAAATCTCGAAAGTACTGAAACGAGCTTCCAAGTGGAATGGTGTTGACCTGAAGAGAGTTACAGATGCATTTTACCCTCCAGACTCAAAAGACAGTGATTTAAATGGTAACGCATCTTTGCTTTGTACTTTTACTAATGACTCTAATAACTCGGAAAGGGGAGCACTTTCCTCCAAAGACGCCCGAGACAACTTTGTGAAACATCCTGTCGCATCTCTGACAAACGGGATCTCACTACGAAAGGACGCACCTTGCGATCTTTTCAAAGATCCAATGTTGAGGAGACATACTTTGTTCAATGTAGTCGCATGGTTCTTCAACAGTTTCACCTACTTTGCCTTGATTCTCATGTCTTCCACTCTACATGGAAGCATCTATGCCAACTATACTCTCAACGCTGTCGCCGAGATACCTCAAGCAATTTTCTGCTTTTTTTACTTAGACAAGATAGGCAGACGTAGAGGCTTCGCTCTCTTCAGCATTATTGCAGGGGTGGCGTTAATTGCCGTTGCAACAGTATGGGAGCTAGCACCTGACCAAGGAGCTGCCATAACAGCTCTGAGCATCATTGGAAAAGTTGGCATCACAGGCTCTTTCAACGTCATATATCTATACACACCAGAACTGTTCCCTACCAATTTACGAAACATGGGTTTGGGCGTGTCATACTTAAGCGCACGGTTTGGTGGGATGCTCTCCCCTTTCGCAGAGCTCCTCATGGAGAAGATTGTCTACGCCCCTGGCCTCGTCTTCGGCATCAGCAGCCTCGCCATGAGCGTGATGCCCTTCTTCCTACCGGAGACCACTAAGTACCAGCTGCCGCAGAGCTTGGCGGAAATGAAGCTCTGGAAGCGCCCACAAGGTGGCGCTGCTTCACGGCGACGTGTTCCTGGCCAAACAGATGGTAACAAAACCGAGGACGCTGTGATGTAACGTACAATCAATTCTATAGGCTCGTTCAGAAACAAAAAGTCGTCGAAGCAACGAATAGTATAATGGATCATCACAGCTATTCTTATATTTGACCAACTAAATTACTTTGCTTAATTGGAAGAAAACTCGGAGTAAATAGATTACTGCCACAGGCGATGTGAAAGACTCAAAGATTGTTGCATTACTGGCTTCTGGATATCCTCTTTCCCGACAACCAGAGTGTTGCAAATCATCGAGTGACTAGAGAATAGCCAATAAGCAATGAATCATGACCAACGACGATTCGAAGAGTTCGCATATGTGTCGAATAGAACAAAGTGGTGGAATAGTCATGGTATTCGAATATTCGCGTCAAATTAGCAGCACAGCATACGTCTGTTGCTATCATAGCTACCATGTTTCCTGAACTGTCTGGGCAATCTCTTCTGTGAAATGTTTAAAATTAAATTGTTTTTAAAGTTCATAGTTGTGTATCTCACCTCAGCCGGCATGCTCATTCCAAGTTATCATTTCCGTTTTCAGGGGAACAAGTAGCGTTGCTGCTTATTTTTGCACATACATGTACTACTGTCTTTTCTATATTCCGCGCATACTCAGTGCTACTGGAAATTTGAAAACGTAGTTAAATAGAATATTGTATATTTTTTGTTGCATCGTTGTGAAATGAGGCGCTCGTTAAAAAGTTCACATGTGGTGAAGAAACCGACATCTTTTCGTTCATTGGGCATTTTCGTTTTTTCTGAACACCTTTTATGACCATTTAAAACACACATCTGTGTAGATTTTGCTGAAAAACGGGGATCAAAGGCACAAGAAATGTAAAGTTTCAGTTTCCCGAGGACACTTAAGCTTTGGAAGTCACCAAATTTTGGCGGCCATTTTTAGCGATTTTCTTCTGACAACAGGCGAACCTAGCCTATTTCAATCGCAAATATCTACTTATATATACCTAGATATATTATAAGTATTTTTCTGCCAAAACCAAGAAGCATGAATAAGCTTTAAGATAGTACGAGCGTACCAATAACTTTAAATGCCCAAAAATTGATAAGCACCTGATTCCACCGTGTTATGACATATATCTTTGCTGAAGATGTGACAGTCGAACTTTTAAATATTGTATCGCATGTCGTATGTCGTACCGCTGAATCAGAATGCTCTTTTGTGCCCGTTAAGCCAAGCGCACACTTTGGCAATCTCCACTTTTCACACGGCTTTGAGCCTGAAATGGGGCAATTTTGGCCCATTCTTGTCTCGTCACCTCCAAGTGACGTCATATTTCAAAGCTATGAGATGAGTGGAAATTGTCCTACTTTGCACGGGGTCTTAAGAATAAATCGTTTGGACTGTTTAGACGTTACTCAGAATTTTCTACTCATATTTCAGATAACTTGTTAATTTGTGACGTGCACTTTAAACTTCACTTTTTTTTTTAAGTCACTTAATTTTGTCACTGTGAATATTTTGCTTGACGAATTGGAAGTGTCATTAATTACCTTACATAAAGAGATATTGTCAGACAAAAATAATGATAAAATGCTTTATTAATAAAGAGATATTTTAAAATAAATAAATACATGAATAAATAAAGAAGAGGTCCCTTTATTGGGTTTAAGACAGATTGTCCTGTCGATGAACGCACCTGGCTGATCTCTTGTTGAATCGTATGCTCATAGTCATTGGTCATAATTTTATTAACATTGCTAAACATTTGCATATGACGGAGTTCTCTCATTACTCAACCA